AGGACTGTGTGATGTATCGGCAGATAATCCTATTATTATTATTATCATTATTATTATCATTATCATTATTATTAGAAACACGACAAGATGAGTCCACAGCAGACACTCTGCTGGCTGCTGAATTGGATCACACATCGGACACTTCCCAAGTGTCTAGAACTGTGTGATGTATTGGCGAATAATGCGTGCAGATCCCAGTAAGGTGGCATTTTGCAGCTGACAGATGGTAATTTTGTCAGCATTGATTGTGTTGAAGTGCAGGCCAAGGTCTTTAAGCACTGCACCCAGTGTGCCGATCTCCACTGGGACCACCTTATTATTATTATTATTATTATTATTATTATTATTATTATTATTATTCCTGCTCTGGGATACATCAAGTATCAGATATAACACAAAAGGCAGAATAATGACTTTGAAGGAAAAATGGAAAATAGGCAACAATAGATCTTTAGGCAAAAATTGACTTTTAGATATTAAAACTCTGCAAAGATGGATGGACAGTAGACAAGATGGCTTTAGGAGCAAGATAAATGTGCAGCACACCGCAAACATGAGTGATTTGGCAAGGAAGGGGAACTCTCAAAATTTCAGTAGGACTTTTCTGAATCCCATAAGTTGATGCTCAAATAAAGAAATAATAGTAAGTCATGGATGGGAGGCAACGGGCAAGAAAAGGTGAGCAAAAGTTCAAGATGGGACAAGAGAGAGAGTAATGGCGGTATGTAAAGTCAAGTCAACCTAAAGATAGATTTCCTGACCTGCCAAGAAACCCAAATATTCATTTATAGTTCAGTACTATATACTATTATTAGATCCAATCTTGGCCTCTTAAAACAAACAGATATGCAGGATTGGGGTATCTTTCACTCCCCTTGCATAGCTGCACCTCACTACAGTAATATGATGTTCACTGAAATCCTTGCAACTTCATACAACATATGGACATTTGGGACATACACAGAAAACACCAAGTAAGATTTGGAGATTTAGTTTGAAGGGTCATGTGGCGAGAAGATGCAATGTGCTGAGTAGCAGTCGCAAACCTTTTACACTAGAACAGGACCTTCTTTATTCCATTATTGTACTTAATTTAATTTCTCCCAAAATGTACACTGCATAGCTAGACAATTCCAGATGCATTTCCTTGGGAGTGTGTCTCAGAGAACAGAATAAGCTTTACTGCACATACTCCAATATAAGCCAACCCGAATATAAGTTGAGGCACCTAATTTTACCATTAAAAAAACTGGGAAAATATTGATTGAGTATAAGCCAAGGGTGGGAAATGCAGCAGCTACTGGTAAATTTCAAAATAAAAATAGATACCAATAAAATTACATTAACTGAGGCATCAGGAGGCTAAATGTTTTTGAATATTTACATAAAACTGTAATTTAAGATAAAATTGCCCAACTCTGATTAAACTATTATTCTACCCTTCTTTAATGTCAATGTACATATCCTTCCAATAATAATAGAGGTAAATAATAAATGTAATAATAACAGTAATAACAGAATAAAATAATAAATGTAATAATAATAGAGTAATGTATATGTAATAAGAACAATAAAATAGAGTAAATTAATAAATATAATAATAGAGTAAAATAATGTATATGCAATAATAATAAAATAGAGTAAAATAATACATGTAATAATAATAAATAAGAGTAAAATAATGTCTATGTAATAATAACAATAAAATAAAGTAAAATAATAAATGTAATAAAAGATAATAAATGTAATAATAAAAATAGAGTAAAATAATGTATATGCAATAATAATAAAAATAGAATAAAATACATGTAATAATAATAAATAGAGTAAAAGAATGTATATGTAATAACAACAATACAAATAGAGTAATACAATAAATGTAATAATAATAAATAGAGTAAAAGAATGTATATGTAATAACATCACTAATAAATATAATAAGAATAATACAGTAAAATAATAAATGTAATAAAAATAATAATAACAGAGTAAAATAATAAATAACCTTGACTTGAGTATAAGCCGAGAAGGGCTTTTTCAGCCTTAAAAAGGGGCTGAAAAACACGGCTTATACTCGAGTATATATGGTATTTCCATGTTTGCATTAAGAGATGGTGATTTGACTATGACAATATTTTTAAATTTACCACAAAAGAATATTTTCTTAAGGATCTTCTGGATGCCTTCAATAGTACGATTCCACAGGAAAAAGTCATGATCTAACTTGCCGCTGTGCCACAGTAAAAAGAAGCATGAAACCGCAAGCAAATCGTACCGAGGCTTGGCCCATAAGAGTAGAACTTGTTGGAAGCTATTGTTAAATTACAGGGAGAGCCCCAGGTTTTCCCAAAGCAGAATACTTATGTATCCAAAGAACATAACCTCTGCTTTTATCTACCAAAATACATAAACAATCTGCAAAGCAGCCATGACTAAAGCATTAATAGGGAAAGCAAAGTGCACTGGTGAAGTTTGCCACAAGCATTCTGAATTTTATTTATGTAAACACATTTAAATCCTGCCTTGAGGTGGCAATGAAGGTCTCCTGAGTAGAGATGACAGAAAGGTTTGCAAATCGATAACCTGTTTCTCGGGCAATGGAGTATTAGGCGGTTACTTCATCTCAGCTGGAGAGTCAGACCTGAAGCACAATTAAAGGCATTGCGAGCTTTTCTGGCAAGAATGTTTGAAAGCCATTTTCAACACAGAGAATGAAGGGCCTCAAAGCTTGCAATAAGGAGAGGGGAAAAGGGAGGGGGGAGGGAAGAAATTCCAAGTACGATTAAGTTTATGGGGAGCTTCACCAGAATGACAAGGCAAGTCAGTCAAAGCGTGATGCCTTAACCCCACGAAGCCTTTGAGGAACCTCTTTCCCATAATGATTCAATGTTTGCGATTTTTCCTCATAGAGAAAACGAGATGACAGCTGGGAAAATACTCCACATCACAATGCATGTGGTGGCAACAGATCGTGCAGAATATACCGCCAGCAGCGATGACAAAATAATAATTCATGATTTCTGTGGCAAATATAAAACTCAACATGATTGAAAGCTCAAAATACTATCATTGTAAGGATCAGTTAGGAGTCCAAAAACATGGCCTCAGAGGGAGACTTGGACCTACGATCGCATTTAGGGACTGAAGGTAACAGCCCTACTTCCGAGAAGCTTTTCTACACATGCGATTTGCAAATCTTCGGGAATGTTTAGGTCTGACTTTGCAGAACATGCTCTGGCCAGAAAGAGCACTATCCAGGCAGCATGAGTGACAAGAAGCGTGGCTGCCACCAGCAGAACTGCAGCCATCATGCAAAAATACTAAAGGGTTTGATAGGTTATGGAAACAGGCACCAAAGACAGAAACAGACAGGTGAGGCAGGGTAAAGCTTGCCTGCAAACATACTTAGCTTCCTCCACTACTTCCACCTCAGTGCGTGCTGCCAGTTGTATATTGGAGGGGGCTCCCGTTGGCTCATCGGTGTTCAGCTCCCCATTGGTTGAACTTACCACCTGAGGAGAACAGAAACATAACCCTGTTGTGAATATATGGAACTTAACTCCCCCCAGTTTGTGTCAAAGCAGAACCGACATAACACACCGGCCAACACACATATTGATGTTTCAAACGTCAGCCCTGCTTCTGGATATATTTAACCTGCTGATTCCAAAAATGGCACCCATCAGCTCTAGTATTTGAGATACAGAACATATGTCATCAACCATATATATTCAAATATAAGCTGTGTTTTTCAGCCCCTTTTTTAGGCTGAAAAAGGCCCCCTCGGCTTATACTCGAGTCAAAGTTATTTATTATTTTACTATGCTATTATTATTATTATTATTATTATTATTATTATTATTATTATTATTATTAAAAACACCACAAGATGAGTCCACAGCATATGCTCTGCTGGCTGTTGTATTGAATAACACATCGGACACTTCCCAAGTGTCTAGGACTGTGTGATGTATCGGCGAATAATGCCCCTGCTCTGTGAACCGCTCCAAGTCGCCTTGGGGCTGAGAGGGGCAGTATATGAAAATAGTAAATAAATAAATAAAAATAAATTAATAATAAGGATCCTCCACCACACTCCAGGGCAGAGAGATTCCTGATTGTTTCCTGTTAGGAATTCTTCTGCTTTCTGAGTGTTGTTCTTTATTCACTGAGGACAACAAAAGATCCCCCCCCAGGCAGGAAGCAGCCAAGCTTTGAAGCTACAAGACCATTTACTATTATTATTATTATTATTATTATTATTATTATTATTATTATTTGAAACACAACAAGATGAGTCCACAGCAGACACTCTGCTGGCTGTTGAACTGGATCACACGTCGGACACTACCCAAGTGTCTAGGACTGTGTGATGCATCGGCGAATAATGCGTGCAGATCCCACTAAGGTGGCCTTCTGCAGCTGGCAGATGGTAATTTTGTCAGTGCCGATTGTGTTTAAGTGCAGGCCAAGGTCTTTAGGTACTGCACCCAGTGTGCCGATCACCACTGGGACCACCTTGTGCCAGTCTTTGCAGTTCCATCTTTAAATCCTCATATCGTGTCAGCATTTCCAGTTGTTTCTCTTCAACCTTGATGTCACCTGGGATTGCAACATCGACAATCCATACTTTGTTTTTTAACACGATTGTGAGGTCAGGAGTGTTGTGCTCCAGAACTCTGTCTGTCTGAATTCAGAAGTCCCAGAGGAGTTTGGCATGTTCATTCTCTGTAACTTTTTCCGGCTTGTGATCCCATCAGTTCTTTGTGGCAGGCAGATGGTGTTTGTGGCACAAGTTCCAATGAATCATCTGAGCAACGGTGTTATGCCTCTGCTTGGAGTCTGTGTGTGCGATCTTCTTGCAGCAGCTGAGGATGGGATCTATTGTTTCATCTGCTTCCTTGCAGAGTCAACACTTGGGATCTGTCGTCTACTTTTCAATCCTGGCTTGGATGGCCTTGGTTCAAATGACTTGTTCTTGGGCTGCCAGAATCAGGCCCTCCTTTGTCTCCTTTTTCAGAGTCCCATTTGTGAACCACAGCCATGTTTTTAATTTGTCAATTTGGCTCTCAATTTTTCCCAGGAACTGACCACGGAGAGCCTTCTTTGGCCAGTTTTCTCTTCTGCTCTGGATTGTGTTTTTATGGTATTCATTCTTTGTCTTTTTGCACTTGAAGCAGTTTACTACTATTGGCTTCCCCCAATGTTGGTTCTTGACTGCCGTTCGCATAATCTGCTAGTGCATGATGATGATGATTATTACATTTATTATTTTACTCAATTTATAATAATTACTATTACATTTACATTATTTTACTCTATTTTATTACACTTATTATTTTTTTACATTTTTATTACATTTATAACTTTACTCTATTTTTATTATTACGTTTATTATTTTACTCTATTATTACTGTTATTACATTTCCATTATATTACTCTATTATTATTAATTTTTATTACATTTATTATTTTCCTCTATTATTATTGGGAGGATATGTAAGCACATTTATACCCCAAATATAAATGTAATTAATAAAATAAATAAAGAAATAAAGAAATTTACTGTACAGTGAAGGTTAGAATAATGGTTTAATATGAGTCTTACCTTACATTACAGTTTTATGTAAATATTCAAAAACATTTAACCTCGTGATGCCTCAATTAATGCAATTTCCTTGGTATCTATTTTTATTTTGTAATTTGCTATTAGCTGCTGCATTTCCCACCCTAGGTTTATACTCGAGTCAATATGTTTACCCAGTTTTTTTGTGGTAGAATTAGGTGCCTCGGCTTATATTCGGGTCGGCTTATACTTGAGCATATACGGCACATTTCTGACTGTATAACTCATTTTAGACAAGCAATGAAGCAACTGGGAATCCATCCCCTAGATGCCAGCTGCAGTATAAATGTGGCCCCAAACCAGAAAGGGCGATACCTGAACCGATCCCCCATGCCGCTCTGTAGCCAAGTGAGGTGTCAGGAACAAAGCATTGGCCTGCCTGTTCGGTGCCGTGGCTTCCCAGTCTCCTCGACGTTCTAAACCCTGTGCAGGGGTTTGCAAGCAGAAGAGCAAAAAGACAGAGGAGGAAAGGCAGAGGTGAGCCACAGCAAAGCAATGCCCTTTTTTCATTCAGGGATAGGAAATTTGGGTTAATAAGCATCACAATTATGCATTAAGATTGCCCCCACCCTTTGCACAGAAACCAGAAAGTAGTTAGCAGACAGGGGGAAAAGAATGCAGAATAAGCATTATGGCGCAGCTGGCTGAGTGTCAGCTGCATTAAGATCACTCTGACCAAAAGGTCATGAGTTCGAAGCCAGCCCGGGTTGGAGTGGGTTTCCAACCAATTGTGTGTAGTCTGTTGTCGACCTTTGCAACCCGAAAGACAGTTGCATCTGTCAAGTAGGAAAATTAGGTACCACCTTAAAGTGTGGGGAGGCTAAATTAACTGATTTATGAGGCCATAAAGAAGACTCCAGCAAAGCATTCCAGCGGGGAAGCATGCGGGGAATGCGGAAGTGCTTCATCAGCGTCGCAGATGGACTATGAAAGCGACAGCTCCCCTGGCGGCCAGAAAAAGTTAAATAGCCTCTGTGTATGTCTGTATATGTTTGTATGTCAAAAATTGGCATTGAATGTTTGCCATATATGTGTACACTGTAATCCGCCCTGAGTCCCCTGCGGGGTGAGAAGGGCGGAATATAAAAGCTGTAAATAAATAAATAAATAAATAAATACTTTTTTATCCATTCTGTACAGGTATAACTGCAGGTCTAAGCTGATTTCTGATTTCTGAGATCTGTCAGTTAGATGGTATGTTAGGAACCACATCCAATCTCAGAAATATTTAAAGTTAACAGAGTAGTTTTTATTACAAGCACTGAAAGAGTTAATAGGCCGAAGCCTGTTAGAGTCTGTCGGCCAAAGCTAGTGTTGTCCTCAGAAATGAGTGTAACAAGGCCTGTTAGAGTTAGTGGACCCAAGTCAGTGTCATCCTGAGGAGTGTGAGGTAAACCTCTGTGTGAGAGAAGCTCCAGTGTGTCATCCTGAGGAGTGTGAGGTAAACCTCTGTGTGAGAGAAGCCTTGTGAGTAAAGCTCCAGTGTGTCGTCCTAAGGAGTGTGAGGTAAACCTCTGTGTGAGAGAAGCCTTGTGAGTAAAGCTCCAGTGTGTGAAGGCTGCTGCATGTAAAGCTACTATGTATTTGTTTATTTGTGTTATAGAAACATCGTTATTGTAAATAGTGCAACTATATTATTTTATTACAAAGAAAAGCCTCCTAAGGAAGAGATGATGACATTGGTCTGTGTGTTTTTGTTCTTTTTGTCACTTTGGGCTACTGGTGCTGGGTGATGCTGCTGCTGCTAAATTACTCTGCTATACATTTATGGGGAGGGTCTTTTATTAATAGATAGATAGGTTAGGCATCAGATCCAATCTGATCTTGGTAGCTAAGCAGGTCAGCTGTGGTTAGTACTCGGATAGGAGAATGTCAAGGGATATCAAGTGCTGTTGGCTATATTTCAGAGGAAGGAATTGGCTAAACCACTTCCTTGGGATTCCTTGCCTGAGAAAATCCTATGAGGCCCATGGAGTTGCCATAAAATGAAAGCGACTTGAAGGGACACACACACGTTAACAAACCTGACTCCGGTGAACTGGTATCAAGGACCGATCTCTGTGTGGATGGACTTCTCTTGTTACAGATGGTCCAGATTCAACATGCACAGGCAAAGGCCCCACTGGAGTAGGCTAGAAAAGAAATACATACACTCACAGAGAGAACTGAATATCCCAGTGAAACCCAAATAATATTTGCTGAAGGCTTTCATGGCAGGTTTTCTTCAGGCTGTATGGCCATGTTCTAGAGGCATTCTCTCCTGATGTTTCGCCTGAATCTATGGCAAGCATCCTCAGAGGTTGTGAAACCTCACAACCTCTGAGGATGCTTGCCATAGATGCAGGCAAAACAACAGGAGAGAATGCCTCTAGAACATGGCCATACAACCCAAAAAAACCCAACAACAACCCAATATTTGCTGATTTTAGCACAGCAACTCACTTAAGAGTAGGCATCAAGTACTGTAAATAAGGTCCTGTAGGCTAATGGTCTCAGGTCCTACAGCATTTGCCTCCAGCATCTTCAGCACCAAGTGCCAATAGTGAAAACTAACACACCTGAGCTGGCTGAAGTAGTGCACACATTTAGGGCCTAGATACAAGACTTTCCACTGGACAACTTGAATATAAAATGCCCAAGCCTTTTGTCAAACGGAGCCGCTTAACAACTTGGGATTGCCAAGTGCTTACCTTTAATATTCATAATTTTACCATCTGTTGCAAAATTATTGACCACATGGATTTTGACTTTCTCAGAGAGGACTATTACTATGTGTAGATTTATTCCCACATTCCAATACATGATTGAAATAAAGGTAAAGGTAAATATTTCCCAATGTCATTAAAAGATTCCCCCCACACCCTCCAGCACCAACCACTGCTCTGAGATCAGAGTGAAGAGAGGGGCGAGGAAGGCAGTTCCGTCTTATCTCCTGCACTGTGCTAATAATAATAATAATTAAATAATTTTATTTGTACCCCGCTACCATCTCCCCAAGGGACTTGATGCGGCTTACATGAGGCCAAGTCCACAGTACATCAACAAAACGAAGGCAATAACAAAATAATCAATACAAAACAGTAAAATAAATCTCAAAACAAAAATAAACAATAAACAATAACATACAAGCATTAAAAACCTATGACTGGGCCAAATGTAATAATTAAAAAATTAAGAAATAATAATGCTGGGCATGAACAAGGTAGGGTATAACTAGGATAGGGTTTTCAAAGAAAGATGAGGGCGCGCAGGCGATTCTAAATCAATGTTAAAGTGCATTTGAGGACATATTGCTAAGAGTTTTCCTTATTCTGGGAAGGCACACTGGAACAACCACATTTTCAGGCTCCTCCTAAAGACTGCCAGCATTGGGGCATGTCTGATGTCCTTGGGAAGTAAGTTTCAGAGTCGGGGGGCCACCACCAAAAAGGCCCTCTCCCTTGTCCCCACCAATCGCGCCTGCAAAGGAGGTGGGAGCGCGAGCAGGGCCTCTCCAGATGATCGAAGACATATAATATAATGTAATATAATATAAAATATTGTATATACATATAATAATATTGATAATATTATAATGTAATACAATATATTACTACTACTAATAAAATGATATTACAATTATATATTTTATATTAAATGTAATATTACTAATAATATTACAGTATAATGTTATAGTACAATGTAATGTATAATATTAATATTGTGCTATGATAATAATATAAAATATTGTATTTACTTTTTACTTGTAAGCCACTCTGAGTCCTCCTCGGGGTGACATATAAATGCCATGAATAAATGTATTTATTTATTTATTTATTATTTACAGTATTTGTATACCACTTTTCTCACCCCGAGGGGGATTCAAAGCAGTTTACACATAAGTAATGGCAAACATTCAATGCCAGTACAAACAATTAAAATTATACGCTACAATTAGACATAAATTAAATTTAAAAATACATCCATGAACAATAATAAATAAATAAATACATTTTTTTAAGGCCACACCGTATTCTCTCTTTATCACTAGGATTCTTGCAAACATGAGGAAGAACTTCCTGACTGTGAGAGCCGTTCAGCAGTGGAACTCTCTGCCTCAGAGTGTGGTGGAGGCTCCCTCTTTGGAAGCTTTTAAACAGAGGCTGGATGGCCATCTGTCAGGGGTGCTTTGAATGCAATATTCCTGCTTCTTGGCAGAATGGGGTTGGACTGGATGGCCCATGAGGTCTCTTCCAACTCTATGATTCTATAATTCTATTTGGCATAAAATCAGGATCGTATGGAAAGAGCAACGATCAAGAAAAGTATGTCACTTGCCTACAACTTACAATTGGCCTGCCAACCCAGTCGTAGGCATAATCAAAGGTGAATCCTCGCTTTTCAAATAATTCTGTGAAGATGGTTCTCAAGTATTCATAGTCTGGTCTCTCGAAGAAGTCTAGTCGCCTGACATAGCGGAGGTAAGCAGCCATCTCCTCTGTTAAAGGGAAGAAGCAACATCAGAAAATCTGTTCAGAAAGAAGTAGAAGCAGAATACATTTCAAGGTTACCTACTCGGCAGAGGAATCCCCTATCGCTACAGGCGTTGACGGGATGGTCAATCAACTCATGTCACTGACTGGATATATAGACAACTCCAAATGGTTTCATTCAGGACATGAGGCATTTTTCACACATGAAAAGGAACTTTGGGGGATCAAAAACCCACAAATAAGGAGGAGGAGGAAGCAGTTCTGTCGGTATAGCCTTATTCTCACTGCCAAGGAACTGGGAGATATTGACATCACATCATCATGCAGATTTGATGTTTTAAGTGGCACAGCAAAGGAGCCCCCTGGTCGTGGAGCAAGTTAAACTGCTGAGCTGCTGAACTTGCTGACCAAAAGGTTGGTGGCTCGAATCCGGGGAGTGGGGTGAGCTCCCATTGTTAGCCCCAGCTTCTGCCAACTAGCAGTTCGAAAACATGCAAATGTGAGTAGATCAATAGGTACCGGTACTCCATGCAGTCATGTTGGCCACATGACGACATGGAAATTGAGAGGGAAGACATCCAAAGGGAAATAAGTAATATAGCAAAAGAAAAGTGTAATGTATTAAGGGAGGTAAGAAGGAAAATGTTACAAAAATGGTACAGAATTCCTGCACAACTTTCACATTTTTAACCAGGGATAAAGGATAGGTGTTGGCATGGCTGTGAACAAAGAGGGATGTTTAATCATACGATATGGGAATGTGAGTGAGTACAAGAGTACTGGAGAATGATTGAAGGAGACGTCAATAGAATGTTAAATTTACAAATCGTAATAATAGAAATGTACTACATGCACGGATAACAGGAGTGAAGAATATACAAAAGGAAAAATTGGTTGACAAATTAATAGCATGTGCACAATCTGTTTTAGTGAGGGGTTGTTAATAATAATAATAATAATGCTTAATTATACCCCGCCACCATCTCCCCAAGGGACTCGAAGCGGCTTACATGAGGCCAAGCCCGACAACACATCAATAAAAGAGAAAAGCAATAAACAAAAAAGCAGTACAATGAATATAAACCACATAATAATAATAATAATAATAATAATAATAATAATAATAATAATCACATTGGAAAGATAAAACAAAATGGACACTGGTATAAATATATAGTTAATATGTTAAATTTGGAAATAACAAATTGCAACTGGAAAAATATAGATAAAATTAAAAAGGTTACAATAACTAAAAGGACATGGGAACCAGTTAGGAATTATTTAGAGAATGTGCTAAGATGTGGAGTAGAAAAATTAAGACTGAGACTGATATTTTAAATGTAACTTCTGTAGTTTGATGTATAAATTGCAAGTATACAGAGGGGAGGGTGGGAGTGGGAAAAACCAATAAAACAATTTAAAAAATGTTGGCCACATGACTTTGTGGAGGCGTCTAAGGGCAATGCCGGCTCTTCGGCTTAGAAATATGAGCGCCACCCCCCAGAGTCAGACACGACAAGAGTCAGTGTCGGGGAAATCTTTACATGTACTGCAAGTAATTATTGAAATGCAATAAAAAAAAAACAACCACTTTGAAGTTTTCCATATGGGACTGGACAAAGATCTGACAGATGACTTAATATGTGTCAATACAGCATTTTACAAAAATGACATGCTACTCAGATTGAAACTCACCTGGGAAGTTCTCACAGAGAACATCTATTGGAGTATTTCTTTTAGTATCCCCAATCTTCTGGTATCTCTCCTTCAGTGTGTCAGCCTGTACAATTGCAAATATTTTTAAAAAATCTTTATTATCTGTGAATAGAGGATAATACCCACCTAACTTAAGGGGTTATTGTAAACTCTCACTCTTTCTCTCTCTCTATATATATACTAGCCATCCCCTGCCATGCGTTGCTGTGGGATATATATGTGTTTATATATGTATGTGGGATATATGTGTGTATATATGTGGTTTTGGCATGCATTGTAATGTATTTTTTATTAATTTTGGCTTTTAAAGTCTCTTCCGCTGTGTTTTTCAGTGTTTTCTATGAATGATGGTCACTCGTTGGCCTGACAGGTGTATTGTGTCCAAATTTGGGGTCAATTCGCGTAGTGGTTTTTGAGTTATGCTAATCCCACAAACAAACATTACATTTTATTATTTATATAGATGTGTGTGTGTCCGTGTTTCAGTTTCAGTACTATCGTTTTTTGGGAAAGCATACAGGAACTAAAAAGGAGATTTGAAAGTCTCAAGAAATGCAAAGGTGAGGATTAAAATGAATAGATGTGGCAGGCAAAGCTCATTTGGTAGCTATCTCCAGGTTCTTTATAAGAAAAAATTCTGCAAACAAAAGGACGACTTTCTATAATTAAGTTGTTGGTTTCCACAGTTAATTGGCAATTTTATTTGTTGACTGCTGGTCCGGTGACCCCGGGGCACAGCACTTAGAGCAAAGCCTGGGCATCCCACCAAATACTACCATTCAAAATTATGTGTTGTTTCCTGAACTGAGCAAATTACCGTTAATTGCCAACAGAAGACAAAATAAAGATACAAGTCACATAGGGAGTTTACCGAAAACACTTGACGCTTATACCTTAAGGCCCTGCCATGGCAAACTGCCCCGAAGGAAATACATGAACATATGTCCAAGAGCTTCCAAGTCATCGCGCCGGCTTTGTTCTGAAACGCATGAAAGAAGACATATGTTGTTAACAGAAATGCTTACTGGGTACATTTTTCACTCTAAGGCAGCGTTTTTCAACCTGGAAATTAATAATAATAATAAAACTTTATTTGTACCCCGCTACCATCTCCCCAAGGGACTCGGTGCAGCTTACATGAGGCCAAGCCCACAGTACATCAATAAACAAAAGAGATAACAAATAATCAATACGAACAGTTGAAATAAAACTCAAAAACAAAAAATACACAATAAGCAGTACACAATAACAATAACAATAACATACAGCATTAAAAAACCTATGGCCGGGCCAAATGTAATAATTAATTATTATTATTTTTGCAAGACTCTGATTTTAATAGGCTTGTGTTAATCAATTGTTTTAATTATTGTTTTAATATTTTAAATATTTTAATGTATTGTTGATTGTTTTATTATGATGATACCGTATGATGTTTGTGAGGCCACCCTGAGTCCCCCCTCGGGGCTGAGAAGGGCAGGGTATAAATACAGGAAATATAAATAAATAAATAAATAAATAAATAAAGTAGGGATCTGGTGCTTTTAGGGTTGCATTTCTCAACCTGGGGGTCAGGACCCCTGGGGAAGGTTGCAAGGGAGTTTCAGAGGGGTCACCAAAGACCATCAGAAAACATATTTCTGATGGTCTTAAGAACCCCTTTGGAAGAGAAGGCTGAAGATCTCTCCGCCCAGGGCCGTAGCCAGAAAAAAATTGGGGGGGGGTTGAAAATTTCGGGGAGGGTTGAAAATTTGGGGGGGGGTTGAAACCTGCCTCCTAGCTCACGCTGAAGCAAAGAGCACAGCAGGGGCAGAGCAGCCTTCAATAGCCTGCAGCTCCGCCCCTGTCAACCACCTCCACCAAGTCTGGCCTCCTTAATGAGAGCATTCAACACCCCCCCCCCCAACCTGGTTGCTTCACTACATCGGCTATTGCTGCAAGTAATGACAGTGTGAATAAATTGTTAATATTTGCCTGAGATAGTGCTTGCAGTTCTGGAGGGACTCTTAATTTTTTGCATCTCATAGACTTAGCATGGGGATTTGGTTAACCAGTTAAAATTCATGAGTAAACCAGGTTTTTTAAAAAAATCTGAAACATTTCGGGGGGGGGGGTGAACCCCTAAAACCACCCCCCCCTGCTACAGGCCTGTCTCCGCCTGTCCTTCTCCTCCTTTTCGGAAACAGACGACAAATTCTCCCACCAAGAGCCCTCCTCCGCTGTGATTGGCTGGCCTCTCAGCCAAGGGGAGGGCTGTTTCAAGCCAAGAGGGGAGAGCAGGTGTGCTCGGCGCATAGCAGCATTGTGCTCACATGTGAGGGAGAGCGTGCAAGGTTGGAGTCTTGCGCCAGCGAGTCCCTTCAAGGCATGGGGGTTTTGTGTGGGAAGTTTAATAATAATAATAATAATGATAATAAATAATAATAATAATAATAATAATAATAATAATACTTTATTTATACCCCACTCCATCTCTCCCAGAGGGACTCGGGGCGGCTTACATGAGGCCAAGCCCATCAATACAGTAAACACAATATTACACAAAAGCATAACAGAACTAAAAAAAACATAAAATGCAAAAACTAAATAATAAGCAAGACGGCAGTATAAAATCGGACAGTAAACACGCAGAAATTGCACGGGGCAAGGCCAAATTTAAGGATAAAAATTGAAAATTTTAAAACACTGGGAGATTGGGCAATGGTCAAATTCAACCATTGGTGGGGTATAAGGGGCTCTTAGATTGTAGGTGAACCATAAATCCCAGCAACGACAACTCCCAAATGTAAAGATAGATTTTCCTCAAACTCCACCAGTGTTCACATTTGGGCATACTGAGGATTGGTCCAGATCCCTCATTGTTTGAGTACACAGTGTTCTCTGGATGTAGGTGAACTACAACTCCAAAACTCAAGGCCAGTGTCCACCAAACTCTTCCAATATATTCTGTTGGTTGTGGGAGTTCTGTATGCCAAGTTTGGTTCACTTTCACTGTTGGCAGAGTTCAGAATGTTCTTTGATTGTAGGTCCCAGTACCTACAACTCCCAAATGACAAAAGCAAACAGCGCCCCCCCCCAGCGCCCCCCCCCCAAATTTGAATCCCACCAGTATTCAAATTTGGGCGTACTGGGCATTTGTGCCACATTTGGTTCAGTGAATGAAAATACATCCTGCATATCAGATATTTACATTACAATTCGTGAAAGCTAATCTAGATAGATCAATTTCACCAGATGAACTAATGGAAACAATAGATAAGATTAGGCTACATAAAGCTCCTGGCCCAGATGGTCTTTCCCCACTTTATTATAAAACGTTTAAAGAAGAACTGACACCATTACTGGTGTCTGTAATGAATAAAGTCTTGGAAAAAGGTGAGATTCCAGATTCTTGGAAAGAATCCACAATTGTACTAATCCCAAAATCAGATAAAGACCTAGACCAAATTAAAAATTACAGACCCATCTCGCTTCTAAATTGTGACTATAAATTATTTACTACAATCTTGGCAAACAGATTCAAACAGACATTAGCAGAAATCATTCATAAGGATCAAGCGGGATTTCTACCTAATAGATACCTGAGCCAAAATGTCAGAACAATTCTGAATGTTTTGGAGGTAGCTGAGAGCGACCCCAATAAAGATTTAGCATTGTTTTTTTTGGATGCGGAAAAAGCTTTCGACCAGGTCAGCTGGGTTTATTTGGAAAAGGTCTTGGATTTATATGGGGTGGGCCATCGCTTTAGAAAAGCAGTGGGGGCAATATATTCTAAGCAATCTGCTAAGATAAAAATAAATGGACAGCTGACAAAAGCCATAGATATACAGAAAGGGACTAGACAAGGCTGTCCACTTTCGCCATTACTATTCATTTTGGGATTGGAAATTTTGAGTATAAGAATTAGAGATGACAATGAAATTGAAGGGTTCAAAGTAAAAGGCCAGGAAATCAAAATCAGAACATATGCAGACGATATGGTTTGTATTTTATCTAATCCAACACAGAGCGTTCCAAAATTATTAGAGGTAATCAAATTGTATGGAGAGGTTTCGGGTTTTAAAATAAATAAAGATAAATCTAAATTTATTACAAAAAATTTAGACACTAAAATTATTAGGAAATTAGAGGAAGCGGCTAACTGTAAAGTAGTCCCGAAGATAAAATATTTGGGAATAACTATCACAAGCAAGAACATCGACTTGTTTCAAAATAATTACGTGAAGACATGGTCGGAGATCAAAGGAAATTTGAACAATTGGCAGAAGCTACCATTAACATGGCTGGGCAGGATTGCAATTATTAAGATGATGATACTTCCCAAAATGCTTTTCTTTTTTCAAAGCATACCTATTATTAAAGGGACTAAAATTTTCAATTTGTGGAAGAGGGATATCACGAATTTCATTTGGGCAGGGAAAAAAGCCAGGATTGCTTACAAAAATTTAATTGATACCAAAGAGAGGGGAGGACTAAATTTACCAGATTTAAAAACCTACTATGAGGCCGCCTGCATGAGCTGGCTCAAAGATTGGATACAATTCCGGAACATAAATCTACTAAATTTAGAAGGACATGGAATCAGATATGGATGGCATTCTTACCTCTGGTATGAAGGAGAGAGATTAAATAAGGCATTCAATAAACATGTAATTAGGGAAAGCTTAATAGATGTTTGGAAAAGATACAAATTAGGGATGGAACCCAAAACACCCCTGTGGCTGAGGCCAATAGAAGCCATTGGGAGACCCATCTGCAAGGATGATGTCAGAACATATGGGGAACTACTTATCAGGTCCAATGGCCAATGGGCACTGAGGGGAAAAGAAGAATTGGGTATTAAAGATTGGTTCCGATATCATCAATTATACGAAAGATTCAAAAAAGACGAGAAGAGGGGATTTGCTTCCAAAAAATCAGATCTGGAAACTATATTAGATAAAGGGGAAAAAGGCTTAATAGCCAGATTATACAAATATATTCTACACTATAATTTGGAAGATAATCGTGTTAAAACCCCCATGATCTCATGGGCAAAAGATTTAGGGAGAAGCATAGATTTTGACATCTGGGAAAACCTGTGGAACAATGGATTTAAATTTACAGTGGCAGCTTCAATTAGAGATAATGTATATAAAATGTTCTACAGATGCTACATAACTCCAGCCCTCCTAGCCAAAATGGACAATTCACAAACAGGATCCTGTTGGAGGTGCAAAAGAAAGAAAGGGACTTTCTTCCACGTATGGTGGTCGTGCGAACTGGTGCAGATCTATTGGAAAAGAATAATAAAGGAAACAAATAAAATGATTTACAACAAAGTAAAAAAGAACCCAGGGATGTGCCTATTAGGGATATTCAGAGACAGTTTAGAACAGCCAGAGAGAGAAATCTGTTTGTACAGCTTTGCGGCTGCACGCATTACAATTGCCAAAAATTGGAAAGGGGAGAAAACATTAAGCATCAAAGATTGGAAGGATAAATTGTGGGATTATGCACAGATGGCTAAGATTTCAAGCAATTTGAAATATGAAAATAATGAAATATTTGAAAGAAACTGGAAGCTGGCCTTAGCATACTTGACGGGAGAGCTAAAGAAATAAAAACAAGAGGAATTTATTGAATTACAAGTATAGAGGGTTAAATAAGTTGTGCATAAATCCTGCGTGGATTAGTGACGGAAGTCAAGGTGGTGGGTAGCACTGGGGGTGGGTGGAGGGGTAACTGTATGGAGGGTTGTTTGTGTATGTGTGTTTGTTTGTGTATGTGTACATTTTTGTAACATATATGGTTGGTGTATTATCTGTTCGAAATAAAATTTAATTAAAAAAAAGATATTTACATTACAATTCATGTAACAGTAGCAAAATTACAGTTATGACATAGCAATGAAAATAATTTTGTGGTTTGGGGTCACCACAACATGAAAAACTGTATTAAGGAGTTTAGGGAGGTTGAGAAACACTGCTCTAAGGCAACTTGAGGAGCTGGAACACGTTTGCAAATATTCAGACATGGAGTATAAAGTAAGAAGGCCCCAACTTCTTAATATGAAGACTTCCTTAAAGTGGTTTTTAGTTCTGTCCAAGTCAGGATTTTGCAGCAGAGCAGAAAAGGTATCACAAAAAACTGAGATAGAAAAAAAAAATACATCGTCTCAAAGCATGATATAAGTTATGCATAAAGGTTCAAAGATATCCTACATAGTACAGCAGAATCTATTTGTGTTCGGCTAAAGAATAATCAGACCTCACAACCTCTGAGGATGCCTGCCATAGATGTGGGCGAAATGTCAGGAGAAAATGCTTCTGGAACATGGCCTTACAGCCATGATTACAGCCATGTTCCAGAACCCAATAAGGAAAATACAAGTATACGCATAAGGTAAAAGAGTAAAGAAAAGATAAATAGCTATGTATAGAAAATAGCAAATAGCAACAACACCAAAGCATTCCTTGTTGCACTATTTAAGTTTCAGATCCACTGTAGTCTTTTGTTATCCAGTTTTATACTTGGCTGCCATGCAAGCTTGAAATTCTAATAATCAACAGTTTTATGTCTGATAACATGTGAAAATGCTTTAAATGTGCAAAAAAAACCTCCAGTGCTTTTTGATAAAATACAGCAAACCTTTGCCAAGATGTGTGTTGATGGACATGTATCTTGCTGTTCCAGTTAGGCTCTTGTGTTCCCTGTAAGGTATATGTTTTTGCGTTTCAGGGTCAATGTATTCCTTGGCCAATCCAAAGTCTATTATGTGAATGATATGCTCTTTCTTATTTCCTTGCCGGCCAATAAGGAAGTTTTCTGGCTTGACATCTCGATAAATGAGGTTCTTTGAGTGCACAAATTCCATCCGAGTGATCTGCAAGAGGAACATAGATGCAATGACTGAAATGCATCAAAATACATAATTTAGCATTAAGACATTTCAGCTATAGTTTTTTGACATGACTACTGGACTCTACGGTTACGCAAATTATAAAATGAGTTTGTAATGCTCTCGACATTTTCCTGCACAGAAAGATGGAGAGGAACTGGTGGGTATTGAATCCTTATGAAACTTTGTTCAGATGGAGAACTTCCCTTACATACTACAAAGAAATCTCAAGAGTTCCCTGATAAATAACCTGGAAGTTATTGCCCTAATCCATGCTCTGTTCTTCCATTATCAAAGGGCGGAGATTAAAGATCTTCTGGGGAGGCCCTGCTCACAGTCCCACCACCATCACAGGTGCATTTGGCAGGGATGAGAGACAGGGCCTTCTCAGTAATTGCCCCTCGGCTATGGAACTCCCTTCCTAATGAGATCAGGTCAGCCCCCTCCTTCTTGTCCTTTAGAAGGATGATAAAAACGTGGCTGTGGAACCGAGCCTTTGGGACTGTGCAATGAGGCAGCGATAGGAACGCTTCATATGCCAACCAAATTCGATATGGTTGTTGAGACAGTTTTAACTGGAGGATTTTAACGTCAAGATAAGTGATTTTAATGCTTTTGTATGTGTGTGGTCTAGTATGTTTAGGCATTGAATGTTTGCCGTTTATATGTTGTGCTCTGCCTGAGTCCCCCGCGGGGTGAGAAGGGCGGAATATAAATGCTTTAAATCAATCAATCAATCAATAAATACACAATACATTAATGTGTTTATTGCACTCGTGTTCCCCAGCAAGTGGTGTTAAAAGGCATACTGGATTGTTTTTGAAGATAGGAAAAAACAAAAACACCCACAACACAGTTACTTCTGAACCAAATAAATACGTCCCTACTTTGCGGATTTTCACTTTTCGAAGGTGGTCCTGGAAAGTAACACCCGTGATAAGTGAGGGAACACTGTACTATGAATCTGTTGATCAACAGATGGTCAACAGAAACCAAACCAAGTAAAATATTTATTTATTTATTTACAGTGTTAGTATACCGCTTTTCTCACCCCGAGGGGGACTCAAGCGGTTTACACATAAGTAATGGCAAAAATTCAATGCTAGTACAAACAATTACAATTATACACTACAATTAGACATAAATTAAATGAGCAATAAAACAATCATTAAAACAATAAAACAGTCGAATCGCCATTCCAGTGATTGTCTTTCCAAAATGCTGTATACATTTACTTCTACTGTCCGAAGGCCTGGTCCCAAAACCATGATTTAAATTTTTTTCTAAAAGCCAGGAAGGAGGGAGTGGATCTTACCTCATTTGGGAGTGTGTTCCATAAGCCGGGGGGGGGGCACAGCCGAGAAGGCCCCGTCTCTCGTCCCCGCCAGACGCATCAGTGCAGTTTACGGGAGCGTGAGTAGGGCCTCCCCGGATGATCTTACATTGCGAGCTGGGACGTAAGGGTGGATGCATTCGGACAAGTAAGCTGGGCCAGAACCGTATAGAGCTTTATAGGTCAAAACCAGCACTTTGAATTGGGCTCGGAGATGGACTGGCAGCCAGTGGAGCTGGCATAGCAGGGTGGTGGTATGCTCCCTGTATGCTGCCCTAGTTAGTAATCTGGCTGCCGCCTGTTGAACTAGCTGAAGTTTCCAAACCGTCTTCAAAGGCAGCCCCACATAGAATGTGTTGCAGTAATCTATTTGGGATGTAACCAGAGCGTGGACCACAGTGGCCAGATCTGTATGATTAAATGGGCAAATACTGTACGATTAAATGGGCAGCCAACTTTGGGCATTCAATAAAGCTGGAGGAATGGGAAATAATATGGAACAACAAATTAAAATACACATATGCATATGGCCTGACAGAAAACTGGTACAAAAGGATGTACCAGTGGTATATAACTCCTCAAAAGCTGGCAAAATGCTATAAGGCCACACAAGATATATGCTGGAAATGTAAAACACATATGATGACTTTCTACCACATATGGTGGCCTTGTAAAGTAGCAAATAATTATTGAAAGAATATACAGGAAATAATGCAGAAAATATTGAAAACTGGAAGAATTCCTATTAAGTATGACGGATATGGAGTTAGATAAAATAAGGATAAATTGTTTTAATTATTCTCTCACGGCTGCCAGAATAATTTATGCAAGAAATTGGAAAATCAAAGAAGTCCCAACAATAGAGGAATGGCTATTGAATATAGCCGACATAATCAAGCCTAAACAACAATTGTTAGCGATTTCTGATATCGACAAACAGCTTTCCACTTAAAACAAAGAAAACAACAACGGGGGGGGGGGGGGGGGGAGGGAAAGAACTGTCAAGATAAAATCAAAAGATCAAGCTCTTCCTTTACTCACCAGCTGGATTGCTATCATTAGGACTGTCTTCAGAGTGAATGTTCTATCACAGAGATCAAACAGGTCTTCCAAACTGGGACCAAGGAGCTCAAGAACCATGGCATTGTACTTTCCACATGGTCCATAGTAGTAAACCTGTGGGAAGCCTTCAACTGAAAGAGTAAAACAAATCCTTTAATACCTCAGGGAGACTACAGCACTGTACCTTTCTCAAACTAACAGCTTTGGTAGCACTCAAAATGGTTTTCCTATTGTGTATTATGCACAGTAGCTGCTCCCACATGTCCTCAGTCACATTTTTTTTTTACAATTCTAAACACATATTAATGATGCACGCTTCCTTCAAACTTGCCTATGTAACAGAACACAAGGATCACAGGAGTTATCAATTTCCTCTCCACTGGAGATAAAAAGTACATTTCTTCTTAATCTTACTGCATATTTCCACAAATCTCCAACACTGCAACAAAAATCATTATGTAGCAAGGCTGATGAGCTACTTGTTCATACATCAATGCTACTCAAGAGAACTGGTTCTTATCTGCCAGTAATTCCCAATTTTCAGAAAAGAATAACCCAGATATAGTCAAGGAACACATATATCATAGTGGCGCATGAAACACTGGAATAAAATATGCCAGTCTGCCCCATCAGATAGCCTGAAATGTTGTGATGGAGTCTTCGAGTAGTGATACTACTGGGAGTATTAGCAGGGGAAGAAAGACTACTCGTGCACAAGACTCCGATGAAGAGCAACAGAGAAAGCGGATTAGGGAAATACTTATGGAATCCAGTGATGATTAATCATTTGAGGGCTTCACAGGGAATAATGGGTCTGAGACTGAGGAGAGTGGTATGGCAAGTTCAGAGGATGGAGAAATGGACTGGACTAAAGTGCGGGAGGTTCAGAACGTCTGTGAAGAGCCCACAAGTAGTGACACGTTTGTAGGGTTCTCTAGTTGGCACAGTGGGGATCCGGCTAAGTCTTGGGGAGTTATGGGTCTGGATAGAAGATGGAGAGATTGGAGAGATCAGCAAAGGGCTTCAGCTGAAAGGAGGTCTGGTGAGGCGTTGTGTTTCCAGTTCTGAGGAGGAATTGGGGCAAGGGGTTTCAGCTGGTAACAGGGTGTCGGCTGGTTCCAGTTCGGAGGATGATTTGTGAATAAAAGTGAGGTTGGGAGATGGGGTTCCTTGCAGTCGGCAAAGTGTTGATGGGCATTCGTGTGTTCTTGAGAGCTGTTTGGGAAGACTTCTGGGGACCTGCTGCGCTGCCGTTCTTCGTTTTGGCTCTGTGTATGACCTGGACTGGATTATCGTATTTGCTGCCTTCTCCTTCCTCGACCCGGATTGGATTCGCGACGACAACTACATCATGTTTGGATTGACTTGGTAGACTACTTCTGCCTTGCTGTTTGACCTTCGTATTTGCTGACATCCTGCTGCAGATTGGAGTGCCTTTTTTCCTGCTGACTGCATAGCTTTAAATTTAAACCGGATTATATTCCTGTTTAATCTGAGTTATTTTCCAGGTCCTGTTTTTTGGGTTAACTGTGGGTAATACTGTGTTTCACACTGAAGAATAAGTGTTTTGAGCCTTTTTGGTTTGTTTTTGGACTCTCTTGGTTGTGAACTAATAAACTTTACTTTTACTAAATACTGGTCTGGCACTTTAAGGGGTCTGTCTTGCAACATGAAAAGTACACAATTTACTGTCAAAACTTGTTCCTTTTCTCTCTAGGAAAGTAGACAATAATATTTCAAAAAGATATGCTTTTACTAACTACAACTCCTCATGCACTCTTTTACAACAGTCACCTATTATTTCTGGGAGAGAGAGTACTTACCTGTGCAGCCGATGTGTTTATAAAACCTGTATTCTAAATGCAACTGTGGGGCACGTGATTTTAATGGTTCCTACAAAAACAAAGCAAAGAAACAATAAACACAAATGAGGCTGTATTTCTCAAAATGTAAAAGGATATGGATGACCCAAAACCTAAGATTTTTTTTTGAAAGGGGTTGAAAATTTGCTGCCCAAATCTTAATCCTAATTTAATAGGTTAAGGCAACATATTATCAGATGTGAATGAGTATAATAGTAGTTTATCAAACAACAACAATCTGGGACATTAATCTGAATTGCATACCTGGTGTATTATATGTGATAAATTAGAAAGAGGTTACTCAATAAAGATGTGATTTAAAAACCCCTTTTGGCATGTTAGCATCAAGACAGCTTTCCAATGGTGTCTTAGAAGCATATCGTTATGATGTTTAGAACAAGAATTCATTCTCCCAGGATTCTGTAAAACAGCACACTTTTTCTTGACATCCATGCAATTTAGGAGAAAGGCAGAGTGATGGAAAAGTTGCCTTGTTTTACTTTACATTCAGAATTACAAAAGCATCTTTTAAAAGGACACGCCTACTCACCAGTTTGATTGCTACATATTCATTTGTATAAAGATTTTTCCCTGAAAAATAAAGGTTCCTAGTATTAGATGTGTCAGTTACAATAATTGTTTTTCGTTTCTAGAAACATATTTACCATATAATAAGATCAATTTAAACCAAGGATATAGCAAATATTACTGATTATCACTGGCTGGTTTGTAACTCACGTCATTTCCTCTTAAGTTTGTTACCAAGGACGTTTTCCCACTAGCGTTAAAGAACAGGGGCTAGTCGTTAGAGTAGCTCCTGCAGAATTCTGGGAATTGTAGTTCAGGGTGGAACCTTTGGAATTCTCAGCTTGAGAGGTACTCAGATTTCCTGATTAAAACTGATTTCCTGATTAACTGATTAAAACTGAGCTAACCAATGAGTGAAATGACTGTGGCTTTACCTAGTCTGAGCTCCCCGAAGTTCCCACATCCGATCTTCTTGCCAACTCTGAAATTGGGCCCAACCATAAGAACACCAGCAGCTGAAGAGGAACCTGATCCGCGGGAATTGTGGGTACTTCTTACTAGAGTTCCTTTTGTTGGTCGCCTTTCATCTTTCTCCCTAGCAAGATGGTCCATGTTTTTAAAATAAAAAATATCTGCCAGTGATCAGGATTTGGACTCTGCACTTATTCTTGAAGAGAGAAACATATATCCAGAAAAATCATTGGGTCAAACTATAAAATCATTTGGAAATATTTGGCAACATATCCAGGTTGTTCAAGTACTGCCAAAGGACATTCGATGGGCGATGCTGCAGTCCTCTGCGAGGTAGGGGAAAATCTTAGACAACCTACAAGAGAGAAAGGAAAGAGAGCAATATGTGACAGTTCCAACAATGATTCTGCTTTAATCTCCCATAACGCTTTCTCTAACATTCTAGCATCCAAAATCTGCTTGAACCCTTAGGACAGTGGTTCTCAACCTGTGGGTCTCCGGGTGTTTTGGCCGTCAACTCCCAGAAATCCTAGCAGCTGGGATTTGTAGACCAAAACACCTAGGGTCCCACAGGTTGAGAACCACTGCCTTAGAAAGCAACAGCTTATGGCTGTACATTTAAAATTGGGTATAAAGAAAGACTGAATCTAATATTTATTTATTTACTAGCTGTACCCACCACGTGTTAATGTGGTCAACCTTCCCTCTTTCTCTCCTTCTTTCCCTCCCTCCTTCCCTCCCTCTCTCCTTCTCTTCTTCCTTCTCCAGCTCTTTCCTTCCTTCCCCCGTTTCTTTCTCTTCTGCTGTCTCTCTTTTCTTCCTTCTCTCTTTCCTTCTCTCCTTCCCTCCCTCTTTCTCTATGTCTTTCCCCTTCCTTCGTTCCCTCTTTCCTTCCTTCTTTCCTTTTTTCTTTCCTTCTCTCCTTCCTTCCTGGAATGCTTTGCTGGAGTCTTTTTTATGGCCTCATAAATTAGTTAATTTAGCCTCCCCACACAAGGTGGCACCTAATTTTCCTACTTGACAGATGCAACTGTCTTTCAGGTTGAAAAGGTCGACAACAAGCTACACAATTTTGGTTGGGAGCTCACTCCGACCTGGGCTGGCTTCAAACTCTTGACCTTTCGGTCAGTAGTGATCTTAATGCAGCTGATTCCCAGCCAGCTGCACCACTACTTGTTTTCATTAGATTTAATGAAGACAAGTAGTCTAGTATTTTTTGTTCCTAAAGTAGTAAAGAACAAAGTGCTTCTTATTACATATAGGCTCATTGTTTAAGAAACTTCAAGGAAGCACACATATACTTCCCTTAGTTTTAGAATGTATGGAAATGTTCTGCCTAGAGACATGGCAACCAGGCTACTAGAAAAAAACTGTTTTAAATTAATGTGCTAAGAAATGGATCAACAGACTTTTGTGGATAGAAGCTGGCGACATGTTCCTGAGACTTATTTTTCGCTTGTCGAACAGGAAACATTGGTCTCCATTATTTCACATGCTCAGCCACCTAAGAGATTGTCATAATAATAATAATAATAATAATAATAATAATAATAATCTTTATTTGTACCCCACCACCATCTCCCCAATGGCAACTCGGAGCGACTTACATGGGGCCAAGCCCAAACAACAATTGCATTAAATTGTCTACGAACCCACGCATTCACTTCGGTCATCTGGAGAGGCCCTGCTCGTGATCCCGCCTGCGTCACAAGCGCGCTTGGTGGGGACTCGAGACAGGGCCTTTTCTGTGGTGGCCCCCGACTCTGGAACGCCCTCCCAAAAGATCTTAGACAGGCCCCTACATTGGCAGTCTTCAGAAAGAACTTGAAGACCTGGCTGTTCCGATGTGCCTTCCCAGATTAGGAATCTCCAATACCAAGTCCTAGAAGCACTTTAGTAGAACTAAGATTGCTGCACACCGCACACTGCACTTACTTTATAATCCTACATACCTCCTGCCACATCAGCACTTTTAATTACTCTGGCCCGGCCCAGTTTTATAGTGTCTTGATGTATTGTTATTGTTTGTTGTTTATACTGCTTAACTGTTTTTAATTTGCTTTAGGTATTGTATTGTTGTATTGTGTTTTGAGGCCTTGGCCTATGTAAGCCGCATCGAGTCCTTCGGGAGATGCTAGCGAGGTACAAATAAAATAATAATAATAATAATAATAATAAAGTACGACCAAACGCAAACCGAAAATGCAAACAATAAACAACATCATAATTACATAAAACATATGAATATACAACAATATAAAATTACAATAAATACAAACACAATGACAATGGGCGGGCTACATGTAATGGTTAAAAGAACTAATTAAAACTGGTTAAAAACTCGGGTGAGATAAAAGAGAAACAAATTATTTGTGAAGGAGGGCTCATTATAGTGGGAGAAGTGGAATCAAACTTTCCCACAAGGAGGGGAAACATATACTCCGGTGACAGAACATTGCACATGAGGGATAATGTCGGATTGAATACCTATTCACTAAAGGTGCAACGGAAGAGCCAGGTTTTGAGGTTCTTTTTAAAAGTTTCTAGGTTGGGGCTTTCCTAATTTCTCCAGGTAGTGAATTCCAGAGTCGGGGAGCCACCGAGGAAAAAGCTCTCTCCCTTGTGCTTACAAGGCGAGCTTGTGATAATGGCACAAGCTGTGGTAACCACCAAGATATGGATAACTTTAGATGTCCACCCCTGAAGCCTAAACAATTCAGAAAAAGCTACTTTAAATATAGGTTAAACATTATTCAAGCTCACCAATCAGTTGGAATTTTACTGCCTACTCCATCTGTGGATGTTACAACATATGAAGTAAAGGGTGGCTTTATGATCTCATTCGTAAGGAGAGCCACTTGCCAGTCAGAAGAGACTGTAGGGGATTAGACAGGTGAATTTACTGACTTTTATAAAATGGTGATGCTGCGAACACCATATACACCTGTCAGTAAAAAGAAATGATTTGCACTTAGAAGGCAAACAATGAAAATAGAGTTACACAAATACAGCGTGCTCAAGAGTTCACTTTATTTTTTGTCTACAGGAAAAGGTAATTTCAAAATGGATAATAAAAAAACTCTAAAAGGCATACTCATTAAATGTAGATTTAAGATAACAGTATTATCCACATTTTCTGCATTTAATGTGACAGTTAAAATAAGCTATAACAGATTGGGCTATAACTGCTAACTTGATTATTTGGTCATAGTTAACTCAGAAAGGATAGGAACAAAACATGTTGCTGCTTATGTAAAATAAAAAAGTATTTATATTCCCAGTTATGTATTCTTATAAAAGCCGACTGGCAATTTAACATTGAAAGGTTGCATCATCCTAGAATGTGACGGTTTCATAGAACATAGGTGGTTGTGATAGTATAATATAATTCAAATGTATTCAAGGAGTATAGTCACAACAACTAGGAAGTTGAAGAAGTTACGTTTCCTGACAAAAACTTATTTTTCGCTTGTCGAACAGGAACCATTGGGCTCCATTATTTCTGCTTTCTAAGATAATTCTTAGAACATTTTATTTAAAAGTGCATTATTACCGCTGCTCTTTGAAAATGACTAAAAATGACAACTACCAAGTAATGCAAAGTAGCTTTATGTAGTATTAAGTTTCACAGTGGAATTTTCTAAATACAAGTTTTGTGAAGGCACTGGGAGCTAAAAGGCGGGTTGAAAATTTTTACATCAACATAACTTATAATAAAAATGCCAAAACATTTCATCTGCTTGAAGCAAAAGCGCAAAACTCCCCCGGGTCTTAGTTTGCCCATGTCTGCTTTAGCCTATAACGCCCTACATGTTTCCAGTCCAACTTACCTATCCAAACCAGCCTGAGCCAAGGAAGTCCTGCTCTCGGTCCCACCACCACTGCAAGCATGGTGAGGACAAGGGACAGGGCCTTCTCATTGGTGGTCCCTCAACTGTGGAACTCCCTTCCCAGCGAGATTATATCGCCTTCCTCCTGAATTGTTGCTTGAATAGCTAGGTTTTGAATTGTTCAGAAAACAATTCAAAACCTAGCTATTCAAGCAAGCATTTGGCGGGTGATAACACTACAGAAACAACTAAATGACAACCAGCTGCCTACCCTGGATGACGAGGCGCTACGCCCATCATCATTGGTAAAGAGTCTGGACCCTCTGCTGACGATGGAGGCCCAGGTCTCCGCCGTTAGCAGAACCGCCTTCTTTCATCTGCGGCAGGCTAGACGGCTGGCCCCCTACCTGTCCAGGGACGACCTAGCTACGGTGATCCAGGCCACGGTCATCTCAAGACTGGACTACTGTAATGCCCTCTATATTGGCCTTCCTCTGTCGGTGATCCGGAAGCTCAAGTTGGTATAAAATGTAGCTGCTGGGCTTCTTGCGGGAATTCCGATGAGATGCCACATAACCCCAATCTTACTACAGCTGCATTGGTTACCAATTGAGCACCGGATCACTTTCAAAGTGATGGTACTCAGCTTTAAGGCCTTGCATGGTCTGGGGCCGATGTATCTGAGGGACTGCCTCACCCCCTACCAACCCCAGAGATCCCTCCGTTCTGAGGACCAAGATCTATTGGAAGTCCCCAGTGTCAAGACCTTGCGTCTAACAGCAACCAGACGCAGAGCCTTCACAGCAGTGGCACCATCACTCTGGAATACTCTGCCACCTGAAGTCCGTGCCTTGTGGGACTTACCAGCTTTCCGCAGGGCATGTAAGACATACCTGTTTCGACAGCCTTTTAATGTTTGATATTGTTGTTTTTAAATTAAATTGCTTTTAAATTTTGTTAGATTTTAGCTATTCTTGTAAGCCGCTCCAAGCCCCAGGGGAGTGGCAGCATATAAGTTCAAATAATAAATAAATAAATAAACCATGGGATTGATTCAATGTCCAATATGCCTATTATGTATTATGTTCATGCTGATGTGTTGTTTAGTTTTAATGGTTTAAATTCATAGTTATATGTCATCTTTTAGATATGTTGTGTATTGCTTTTATATATGTCTGGCATTGATTTTTCCCCCCCATTTATTATGTTTGAGTTTCCCCAGGGGTGGGAAAAGCAGCATAGTAATGCAATAAATAAATAAATAACTTCACTCAATAATTACTTAAGTGACTCAATATTCTGCTACTATCCTCTCCTTTTTGCCTTGTATTTTATTTTGAAATGGTCATATAACTAGTCAAATAAATAAATTATTATTTAAAAAAGAATAAACTCAAATAAATCTAAATATAACTATTAAGGAACTTGAGATGCTACATCCAACCCCTACTAAGGTTTTTCTGGAGGTAGAGTAAATAGACATTTACAAACTTGAAAAGAGTTTCTCTGTAAGCACTAAAACTGT